AGAAAACTCCTAGAAATTATTAACATGTTCAGTAAAGTGGCAGGTTACAAAATTAACCTACAAAAGTCTATAGCCTTTCTATATACCAATGACAAGCAATCAGAGAAAGAGCACATGGAAACACTCCCATTCACAGTAGCTGCAAAAAATAAAATAAAAAAAAATATCTCGGACTAAATCTGACCAAAGACATTAAAGAGGTCTACAATGAAAATTTTAAGTATTTAAAGAAAGAATTTGAGAAAGACATCAGAAGATGGAAGAAACTCCGATGCTCACGGATTGGAAGGATTAATATTGTGAAAATGACCATCCTACCAAAAGTCATATATAGATTCAATGCAATGCCAATCAAAATCCTCATGACATTTTTCACAGAATTGGAAAAAAATTTCCTAAGTTTCATATGGAAGCACAAAGACCTCGGACAGCCAAAATAATGCTGAGCACTAAGAGCAATGCTGGGGGGATTACTCTACCAGATTTCAAGCTGTATTACAGAGCTATAGTCATAAAACAACATGGTGCTGGCACAAAAATAGACCCATAGGCCAATGGAACAAAATTGAAGACCCAATTTCAGCCACCTGATATTTGACAAAGGGGCCAAGAACATTAACTGGAGGAAAGACAACATGTTCAGCAAATGGTGCTGGCAAAACTGGATCTCCACTTGTAGAATAATGAAAGTAAACCCTTACCTATCACCGTGCACAAAAGTCAGTTCCAAATGCCTCAAAGACCTCAATGTAAAGCCTGAAACTCTGAAACTCTTAGAAGAAAACATTGGGGAAACCTACAAGATATAGGTGTAGGAAAGGACTTTCTAAACCGGACATCAATTGCTCAGGAAACAAGGGCAAGAATTAACAAATGGGACCTCATTAAACTAAAAAGCTTCTGTACATCAAAGGAGACAACCAAGGAGGAAAACAGAAAACCCACAGAACTGGAGAAAATCTTCACCTGAGACACATCTGACAGAGGTTTAATAACCAGAATATATAATGA